TTTTTTCCAAGATGATACATAATGATCCTTAGTTTCCTGTATTACTCTGCTAGGGTTCCCATGACAGAATGCCATAGGAATTTATTTTCTCACTGTTCTGAAGGCTGGAAGACCAAGATCAAGCTGCTGGCAGGTTTGGTTTCTTCTGAGGTGTCTCTTCCTTGGCTTTCAGATAGCTGCCTTCTCTCTCTGTCCTCAGATGGTCTTTTCTCTGTGCATATGTGGGGAAAAACAGCTTGCTTGCTTGCTTGTTTGTTTGTTTGTTTGTTTGTTTGTTTATGATTTTATTTATTTATTTGACAGAGAGATAGAGAGCACAAGTAGGCAGAGAGGCAAGCAGAGGGTGAGGGAGAAAGAAGCAGGGAGCCCGATGCGGGGCTCGATCCCAGGACCCTGAGCCGAAGGCAGACGCTTAACGCCTGAGCCACCCAGGTGCCCCGAGAAAGAGCTCTTATAAGGACACCAGTCCTATTGGATTAGGACTCCACCTTTATTTTTTATTTTCATATATAAAAATATATATTTAATATTCTTTCGTTCAGTTTTAGGCACCATCCCACATCAGCACATACACACTGCATTCCTCGCAGTACCTTTGTTGTATTTGAAAAACACGTGTGTGCCAGGTGCTATTCCTAATATAAGCTCTAATATACTATCATTATTCCTTAATTATAAATAAGGAAACTTAGGCCCAGAGAGATTAATATATTCAAGGTAACATAACTTGGAAATAGCAAAGTCACTGCATTGTGGTCCATCATATGACTATCATAATTCACTTCACCAACCACCTAATGACAAATTTGGGGATGGTTCCAATTTGGGAGTTATTATAAAATGTATTGCATAGAACATCCATTTTCACGTCTTTGGGCTTTGGTGTGTTTCCATAGCGTAAGTAAGAATAGTAATACTGGAGGGGAGGGGCACAACCTGGGTGGCTCAGTCGGTTAAGCATCTGCCTTTGGGTCAGGTCATGATCCAAGATCCCGGGGTTCTGGGATCTAGCCTGGCATTGGGCTCCCTGCTCAGCGGGGAGACTGCTACTCCCTCTCTCTCTGTGCTGCGCCCCTCTCCCCCAAGCTCTCTTGCTTGCTCTGCTCTCTCTCTCTCTCTCTCTCAAATAAATAAATAAATAACTAAATAAAAATCTTATAAATAATAGTAATACTGGGTCAGAGGACATACACGTTGCTTATTTTATTAGATGTCAAACTACCAACCTTCAAAAGAGTAATTCCAATTTATCCTCTCATATTGCCCATCTTTTTTCTTTCTTTTTATAATTCTTCAATCTGGTAACATTTTTGTTCATCTCCCTATACATTTTAATAGTGAATTGGCACAATTTGTTTGTAATGGTTCTAGAAGTCTGTTTAGTCCTCTGCTAAACGTTGAACTCATAGAAGTTGTTGAAGAATGTAAAGAATAATGAGTATTCAAGCCAAAGAAAGTGCTTATGTGAGTAGGTGCTCAGGGTGTTTGAACTGGAGTCGGGTGGGGCTGCACACACAGTAAATTAATCAGGTCACTAACTCCTCTCCAAAGGTAACCACTACCCTGACTTCTGACACTTTAGTTTTAGATTAGTTCTGTATGTCTTTAGAACTTTGTATTCTTTTGCTTCTGCTTCTTTCCCTCAATCTCCTGTGTGTGTGATTCCTCCATGATGCGTAGCAATAATTTGTTCATTCTCACTGTTGAGTAGTGTTCCAGTTCAGGAATATTTATCCATTCTGCTGTTAATGGACATGTGGTGTGTTTCCAGGTTTGGATTATTACAGATAGTGCTGCTTTGAGCATTGTTTTAAATGCCTTTTGTGGACACATATATGTATTCCCTAGCAATGAACTTGTTTTGTCATAGGGTTGGTAAATATGCAACTTTATTAAATCTTGCCCAACAGTTTTCAAATTGGGTGTACCAGTTTTTACTCCCACCCGTAGCATGTGAGGGTCCATGTTGCTCCATATTCTACCAGAACTTGGTATGTTGTGTTTCTCATGGTAGCTATTCTGATGGGTATGGAACAACTGTTGTATTTTGGTTTTAATATGTATTTCCCTGATGATTAATAAGGTTGGGTATGTATTTTTCTTGGCAGTTTGATACCTTTGAGTCATAATATCTGTGATGAGGTTCTTTCCATAAAAACGGAGGGTTTTTTGTTTGAAGCAAAAAGGAGTACCATCTATACATTTTTTAACCCCAAGTGAAGTTTTAAAGTAGACTCCAATGTATGAACAGATGAAAAGGGGTATTTCTTGAGAGGCAGCATAGCATAGTAATTAAAAACAGATTCTGGGTGGGATGCATGGGTAGCTTAATCGGTTAAGTATCTGCCTTTGGCTTGGGTCATGATCTCAGGGTCCTGGGATTCAGCCCCACATGGGCTCCTTGCTCAGCAGGCAGCCTACTTCTCCCTCTGCCTGCAGCTCCCCCTGCTTGTGCTCTCTCTCTCTGACAAATAAATAAAATCTTAAAAAACCAAAACAGATTCTGGGCCCAGACTCCTCCATTAGGAATCCTAGTTTTGTCATTTACTAACTGTGACTTTGGGCCAGTTACTTAACCTCTATTTACTTCAGTTTCCTCATCTCTAAAATGAATGTAGTAATCATACTTTCATAATAAGGTTAATGTCAGGCTCAAATAAGTTTGTTTATGTAAAGCACATAGGACAGTGCATGGTATATAATAAGCACTATGAAATTTTAGCTGTTATCAGTAGTGGTGATGTTGGCGATTTAAATTTATTTTATGAATTGATGTCAAGGTAGCTGACAAGAATAATGAGACTGTTGTTGAGCACAAATTTGAAATGAGGTTTATGAATTATAGTTGCAATTTTACTTTAGACTCAACCTCCATTTTTTTGTTTTGGTTGCACAATATCAAAGAAATCTTGATATACACAGATGAACGATTACAAATAGATAAGGTTCACCCAGGAGTCTCTGGGTTAAGGTTTTAGATAAGTTTAATTGATAAGAAGTAGTAGAAAACATTTGTTTTGAAATTGTTAACTAAATATCTATTATTTGCTTAGATTTTCTGTGTTTAAATAAAAATCACAGAAGCAGCCCTAAAAATTATAGTTTCAATACATCTATTGCATTATCACAATACATCTGCATTACAAGTTTCCTTATTATTGCTTTCAGCCACAGAGCTACAGTTTTTCTAATTAATGACATATTTTCAAGATATTCAAACTAAGGTAGTAAGTAAAGCTACACAAATCAACGATGAGTTTACTGGGCAGCACAAGTTCTGCGTTGTTTGGTGTTTGGTGTGTTCACATTAGGTACAGGGAAACATTCCTATGTATCCTGTTAATAGTTCATAGTTATGGGGCGCCTGGGTGGCTCAGTTGGTTAAGCGACTGCCTTCGGCTCAGGTCATGATCCTGGAGTACCGGGATCGAGTCCCGCATTCGGGCTCCCTGCTCGGCAGGGAGTCTGCTTCTCCCTCTGACCCTCCCCCCCCTCATGCTCTCTGTCTCTCATTCTCTCTGTCTCAAATTAAAAAAAAAAATAGTTCATAGTTACTTCTGCGGCCATCTGTTCATAGTCGTTACTTCTGCAGCCATCTGCCAGGGTCTCAGGCTGTGGCTTACAAGCAATCCTCCATGCTTGCAGCTAGCAGACCCTACACCAGCAGAACATTTCCGACTAATCTAAGTCTTTTAAACAGACTTAAATGAGTATCTTGACAAGCTCCTGTGGCACCAGCTTTATTTCTTCACACCAGATTGTTTCTCACTGCTCCTTAGGCAGTATGAGCTCCTCCAGGCTGGCCAGTCTCCCTTCTTCCTCACCACCATCATAGTTTTGTGTTGGCTTCTGATGGTAACAGTGCCCGTATGCTCTTCACCATCTATCTTGAGTACTGTAATTTAATTTCTTTGTGGTCCTGCTTGGACTCTGCCTTCTCCCAGAATCATTCCTCTCTGATAGTGTTACTTCCTATGAAATCCTGTCCTAACATTCTGTATCTCAGGATCTAAAACTTAAAAAAATGAATTACATAGTTGTACTCTGAGCACTGCCCCCAAATCAGTGCCACTCACAAACTCTATCAGCAGAGGGAGCTAAGTCAAAGAAGATGAGTCCCCGAAATGAAGCCCTGAAGCAGAAAAAGTACTTAACAAACAAGGATGTGTTCACATACTGCCCAGGAGTGAAAAAGAGCTTGAATATCAATATTAGAAATAAATGATTTGGGCCCAAACTCCAGCTTAAAACTTCTATGAGGGGATTTATTTGTAAAATGTTTTTGAGTATCACATTTAAAACCTGTTTGGGGGGGGGCGCCTGGGTGGCTCAGATGGTTAAGCGTCTGCCTTCCGCTCAGGTCATGATCTCAGGGTCCTGGGATCGAGTCCCGCATCGGGCTCCCTGCTCCTTGGGAGCCTGCTTCTCCCTCTGCCTCCCTCTCTCTCTCTCTGTCTCTCATGAATAAATAAATAAAATCTTAAAAAAAAAAAAAAAAAACAAAACCTATTTAAGGGGGATGACCTGATAAACATATGCATATTAGGAAAAGCAATCTGATGTTTAGGGGATTTTTTAAATCCAGTTTATCCCCCCTCCCTGAAAGTTTTACTTATTAAGGAAAGTGAAGAGAGGGGTGCCTGGGTGGCTCAGTTGGTTAGGCGATTGCCTTTGGCTCTCGGGTCATGATCCCGGGGTCCTGGGATCGAGTTCTGCATCGGGCTTCCTGTTTGGCGAGGGGCCTGCTTCTCCCTCTCCCACTCCCCCTGCTTGTGTTCCCTCTCTCGCTGTCTCTCTCTCTGTCAATTAAATAAATAAATAAAATCTTTTAAAAAAATTAAAATAAAAAGGAAGGTGAAGAGAGGTCTCTATTTTGAGAAGCACTGAATCCTAAAGTTGCTAAGAATTATGGATAACCTATTCCAGGTTTTAAGGATGGAATTTTTTAAAGTAAATTTCTTATATTTTGTTCTGATTACATGTATGTATCTTAATTTCAGTTAGCAGACTTGAAGAAAGAGAAGCAGAATTGAAGAAGGAATATAACGCATTACATCAGAGACACACTGAGGTGGGTTTTTGGGTTGTTCCTACCATGTTAATATTGCGCTAAAGGAATTAACCTGAGAAGTTATATTTATATCTTTGAAAGTCAGCTAATATAATTCTTGGGGATTATGTCCAGAAAACATTAAATTTCATGTAGCGTTTACCTTGTTACCAAATGTTGACTTCTATTGTTTTTTTGTCTGGAATTAACTATTCATGGATGAGAATTAGTGTGCCACAGAATAATGTTAATTACTGAGGCAGTTCCAATAGTTGTTTCTTTGGCCAGCTAAGTACAAACTAATGTGTGTGTGATAAAAAGTATATATGATGCTAATATGATAGAATTGATTTAATTTATTTTGTTACCACTTGGGAAATGATGGATTGGTAAATTGTTGGTAAGAGTTTCTGTATTTATAATGCACTATAAAGGGCCTATTTGCATTAAGCTCCTAACAAATAATATAAACACAAATTGTGTATGAAATCAAAATGACTCTAAAGCAGGTTTTCTGCATGAAATGTCAGTATTTTTTTAAGTTAATAACTCTAGTACATAATCTTGTCAAAGCAAATTAGAAAATGTACCTGAGCATGTTTTTAACCTTTTTATGATTCTCTGTGAGCCTTTCATATGCTGCCTTTGTTGCAGTCTCCTGAATGTGAAAATTGTTTTTGTGTTTCATGGTCAGTCTGGGGGTTACAAACCTCAATAAGGAGAATTTTCATAGACTCAAGCACTGTTTGTTACATGAAAAAAATAGCTCCTCTTTTTTTCCCTTTCTCATCCAAATCTCCCAGGATACAGATGGTTCCAGTCTTCAGCTTCCATTTTTCTTTCATTAGTTTGTGATCTCTTATCCTGCCTGTGGTAGAAACCTATATTGTTGCTTTTAAGGATTTGCTTTGGAATAATGATTAATACTTTCTTGAGGAGGGGTTGGAATTTCTGACATAGGAGGTTTCATTATTACTATCTTAGCTTTTGTAGCCACCTGTGAAGAATTGATATTCAGTGGTGGAGGGAAAAGATTGGATACAGAGGTTTGGAAGCATGGAGCCCTGGGAAGACAGGAATAGCTTAAACAACAGCCTTGTCAGTATGAGAAAAATACCCACGGGGCACCTGGGTGGCTGTCGTTAAGCGTCTACCTTCGGCTCCTGGGGTCCTGGGATTGAGCCCTGCATCGGGCTCCCTGCTCGGCGGGAAGCCTGCTTCTCCCTCTCCCACTCCCCCTGCTTGTGTTCCCTCTCTTGCTATGTCTCTCTCTGTCAAATAAATAAATAAAATCTTAAAAAAAAAAAAAAAGAGAACAATACCCACATTTTAATCAGATGGCAATTGGTATATATTAAGACTGTTGAAAAATGATTGATGGGGCACCTGGGTGGCTCAGTCAGTTAAGTGACCAACTCTTGATAACAGCTCAGGTCTTGATCTCAGGGTCGTTAGTTGAGCCCTGTGTTGGGCTCCACGCTGGACATGGAGCCTACTTAAAAACAACAACAACAACAACAAAAACCCACCAGAAAAACCCCAATTGATTGTTAAAGGCCTGTTGTTGGTTTGTTTTACACCATATCCAGCCTGAACAACTGGTAGTGCTTCGCAGTGCTAGAAATATAAATCTGGTTGGAGGAATGTGTTTGTGTGCCATAAGTAACTGATAGTGATGAATAATGAGTAATCATTTTGTTTTTTCATTGACGTTCTAACCTTGGTAAAAATTGAGAATTGTTAAATTGAAGTATGTAAAAATGACCATAAATTGATAGGCTCCTTTTGTTTCGCTCTGCCTCAAGGAAGGTTTATGTAACACACATATAACTGCTTTGAAATATGGGTCTGTCTGCTCTAGACCACATTTTCCTGTGCTTATACATCTGTACTAGAAATGCCATTCAATTAGCAATTATAAATAGCTGTCCATTGCTAAAGAGCTAGGTGAACTAAAGGTAAATTCTGGAAACCTTCAGGGAAAGGAAGTTTGAGGGAATTAATCTTATCTTTTCACTATTCCCTGCAATGAAGATAACCTTTTTTACATGCACACAAAAAAGTTATTTATTTATTTAAGATTTTATTTATTTGACAGAGAGAGACACAGCGAGAGAGGGAACACAAGCAGGCAGAGTGGGAGAGGGAGAAGCAGGCTTCCCACTGAGCCCGATGTGGGGGCTCGATCCCAGGACCCTGGGACCATGACCTGAGCCGAAGGCAGACGCTTAACAACTCAGCCACCCAGGCGCCCCCAAAAAAGTTATTTAAATGGCACTTCTGTCAACCACATTGTTTGCTGCTTAAGAGAAATCTGCTCTGGCTCTTTTTGTAATATGAATAACTGTTCTCTCTCAAATCAAATTCAAAATTTTGTACCAATACTGAATTTGCTTAAAAGAAGATAGGCCTTAAAGAAGGCAGTGGAGGAAATACAAACATTAAGCAATTGTGAGGCACTTGGGCCACATGTATACATACTCTTAATCACCAAAAACTTGAACCCTCATCTTATATCAGGGAGTGTTTAAATGCATTCTTATTTCATCCTCTGACCAAACTCCATCATCCATCCCCATTTTAGAGATTGAAGTTTAGAAAGGGAATATGAAGTGATTTGTTCCAAATTCCATGCTAGTATGTGACTGGATTTGAACCTAGGTCTGTCATATTTTGTTGCCTGATTTTTCTTTTCTTTTCTTTTTTTTATTTAAGATTTTATTTATTTGACAGAGAGAGAGAGAGAGAGCACAGGTAGGGGGAGTAGCAGGTCGAGGGAGAGGGAGAAGCAGTCTCCTTGCTGAGCAGGGAGCCGGATGTGGGGCTCCATCCCAGTACCCTGGGATCATGACCTGAGCCAAAGACAGAGGCTTAACGACTGAGCCACCCAGGAGCCCCTGTTGCATGAATTTTCAGTAACCCTTTTAGGTTATGGGCCATAATGAGTGTTAAAAGCACTAGAAATTTCTCTATGCCTCTTTGCTTTCTGGCATTGCAACAACCTTAAGAACTGTGGCCTTCCAGGTATAGATATATGATTCTTGGGCTGTGCACGGAAAGATTTACGGCAAACACGATTAAAGGGCCACTTTTCTCCAAAACTTCACTTATTGCCTTACTTCCCAGTTTTATCCAAGCTGACAGTCAACCTCTGCTGTGATTTCTCTATGCGGAGGGGATTCTGGATCTGCCAACTGTTTGTTGCTGAATCGACTCCTGAATAAGTGTGAATTAATGTACATACCTGAGAAAGTGGAGAGTTGTAGTTTTGAGATCAGGAGGGATGGGGCTGGTGGACCCAATAGTAGATTATCTAAAGCATGCCCTCCTTTACTGTCTCACCTTTCTCTCTTGTCTGGTACCACTGATCCTGCCCTCCCATTCACTTTTTTTTTTTTTAAAGCAGAGCTATAGGGGCTCCTGGGTAGCTCAGTCGTTAAGCGTCTGCCTTTGGCTCGGGTCATGATCCCAGGGTCCTGGGATTGAGCCCTGCATCGAGTCCCGCATCAGACTCCCTGCTTGGCGGGAAGCCTGCTTTTCCCTCTCCCACTCCCCCTGCTTGTGTTCCCTCTCTCGCTGTGTCTCTCTGTCAAATAAATAAATAAAATCTTAAAAAAAAAATAAAGCAGAGCTATATTGTGAAGCCCTGTAATTAAAATTAAAAATTTTTTCCCCAAGATTTTATTTATTCATTTGAGACACAGGGAGGGAGAGAGCATGAGCAGGGGGAGAGGCAGGGGGAGAGGGAGAAGCAGCCCCCCCCCCCCCCCCAGCCAGGAGCCCGATGTGCGGCTCCATCCCAGGACCCTGGGATCATGACCTGAGCCGAAGGTAGACGCTTAACCATCTGAGCCACCCAGGTACCCCTAATTAAAAATTTTACGTACAATTTATTTTTTCTACTTTTTTTGATGCATTTACAGAATGTAGTGCATATTTTATTTCAGACGTCAGGAAATGCTTTAGGGTGTGGGGTTTTCTTGTGGGTGTGAGGAAGAAAGAACAATTAAGCTTATCGCCTGCCTAGAGAATTGACTAAAAGGGCAAATACAACACTAGTCCTAGAATGCTTAACTTTTTGATGACTGAGTCAGAGGGACCGAAGTTCTGGCCCTAAAGCCAACAGTTAGAACACAGTTGATCATTAACTAGCTGGTCAAATTGGGCAAGTTATTTTAATCTTAAACTGGAGTTTATAAAATTCTAATATTGTTGTGAGGATTAAATGAAACTGGCTTAAATACACTGGCTGACTTATGTTTAATAAATGTTAGCTATTATTTTGTTATTCTGTACTATAAAGTGCTAGTTTAATTGGGTTGGAACGAATTTCATTACATAGACCATTTTGGAATTATATCTGGGATATATCATTTGAAGAAGGAATCAGTCTTTTGAAGGTTTAGAATTAAAAAAAAATTTTTTTTTCAAAGATTTTATTTATTTGACAGAGAGAGACACAGCGAGAGAGGGAACACAGGCAGGGGGAGTGGGAGAGGGAGAAGCAGCCTTCCCGCCGAGCAGGGAGCCCGATGCGGGGCTCGGTCCCAGGACCCCGGGATCATGACCTGAGCCGAAGGCAGACACTTAACGACTGAGCCACCCAGGCACCCCATATTTTAGCATTCTTTTAACGAAATCTATAGGCACAAGAAATAAACATCTTGGTATTAAATTAAATTACTTAATTAAATTGAAAGTGATATTTACTCTGAATCCTTTGTAAAATGGAAAAGATCACCACATCAGGGTATGGCTTCTTCTCAAGTTTCATGTTAATTTCTTTTTTGTTTCCCATTTTAGTGAACAGATTTCTCAAATGCCCTCTATTATTTTTATCAGTGGTCTTTTATCACCTCCTCCCCAATGCTTATATTCTAACTTGTGTTATTTATGTCAAAATTTTATCTTTTACTAGTGTCACATATTGTTAAAAAAAGTTTTTGCTATGCTAAGCAACATGTTGGCTACTTCTTTGGACACCAGCATCTTTAAATGTAAGCATTTGCATATATTCCTTTGCCACCTAAAATTTTTTCATCCTTAATATTCTTTTCCATGGAACTGTGGGTAGTCTGATAAATATGAAATTTCTACAAAAATGTTTCCCTTGTTAAAACACTATGTTTTTATTTCAGGTATTGGCCTTAAAATTTGCATATTTTTTTCTTTCTTCAAAATAGATGATCCATAATTATATGGAACACTTAGAAAGAACAAAACTTCATCAGCTCTCAGGGAGTGATCAACTAGAGTCCACAGCTCATAGTAGAATTAGGTAAGCTTTATTAAACATTTTGCCTTGAGAAAAATCGAAATAATCTGTTTCTGTTTCTCCCTGTTCTTTAATCCTGGAACAATAGTTAGGCTGATTCACAAAGCTCTCTCTCAAAAAGGATGGTTGGAATGCTATAGGAGAGAATAGCAGAGAAAAATAGAAACAGCCCTCACTATTAAAAAGGTAAATCGTGAGCCATGCCATCTAAGCAACGTATCGAGGTATTTTGATTGCTTTATAATACTTAATGGAGATTATACTAGGTTTAAATTTTTCTGATTTGTGGGGGTGCTGAAAATTTTTCATGTCTCCTGTATAATTGGTTTAAAGTCCTTTTCGTTACCAAGAGGCATGTTTGAAAGGGTTAGACTTCTGTTTGATGTAGGAGTGTGAATAAATTATGCAGATCTCCCAGCATTGTAGCCAATGAGCTAAGCCAGGACTCTTAGTGGAGAGGAAAGTAGTTAATAGGCTGGCTGTCGCCTGGATCGCTGCATAAACGCGAGGAGCAGCGGCTCTATGGTTATGAGGTGGGGAGAGCAGGATGACGTCATCGCTTCGGAGCTGCTGCAGGATGGAGTGGAAAGCTGCTGCTGATGGCATTGTTTTTGTGGCAGCCGCTGAATGACAGATCCTCACTACAAAGATTCCCCTTTGGCCCCTGTGTAGGCCTCCTGGTTCCGGTATTTCACCATGCCAGCACAGCGCCATGAGTCCTGGATGCATGCTGCTGTTTGTGTTTGGCTTTGTTGGCGGGGCGGTGGTCATTAATTCTGCTATCTTAGTATCTCTCTCTGTTTTGCTGCTTGTGCACTTTTCTATTTCTACCGGTGTGCCAGCTCTGACGCAGAACCTACCAAGGATACTCAGGTACTCTAGTCTCTCTTAGAAGCCCCTGTTTAGTTGGTTTTTCTCAAATTTTTAGCTTCACAGGTCTGCTTTGTAACCATTTCTGTTGCAGATTGAAACAATGGAAAATGGCCTGAAGCTAGGATTTTCTCTTCTTATTTATAATAATTTACAGGCTACCACCTAGGGATACGGCTTTGTCTTTGGAAACTACGGACTTAAGAAAAGGATTTTCATATTGTACTTATGCACAAGTACAAGGTCAGTGTGGTCTTGTGTTAGGCAGAGTGTTCAGAGAATAAAGGGAGAGCAAGAGTAAAACACTGGGTCCAAGTTTATAAACCTCTGTGTTTAGCATCTGAGCATTTTGGGGCCAGTATCTTTTATGCTGAGACGTATAGTCGGGTAGACACAGGCTGTAGGTGTTTATTTTGTTCAGTTATCCTTTGACTGATGGACATTTAGGCATCATTTTTGCGATTTTTGATAACTTGCGGGAACTGACAATTTAAATATTTTCTTTCTAAAAAAAATATATTTTAAAGTGAAAGGATTTAAACCTTTTAGGGCAAGGAATGCATTTTCCCCCTCATCATTTACACATCAAAGTTGTGAAAGCTTTGCAAAGCCTATTCACTATTGTTTTGTCAGATGTTGCCCTTTCTTTGTAGACTTGGGTGACAAATATCCGTGCCTGCTTGTGGGGGCAGTCATTAATCTCCGGGGCTTTGCTCACTCTACTCACACCCTGTAAGAACTGTTTTCGACATCTCAGATATTTATTTAAGGGTTGGGTGTCTTCTGTTTTCTAACTCCTCAAACTAAAGACATCTGATTTGTTCAGATTTCTGCGTTGTGCGAGGTTTTAAAGGAAGGTTCATGGTGTCGAGCTTTTATTATTTAAATATTTACTTAAAATACTCAACTTGTGGATTTAGATAAATTAAGATGAATTAAATTAGTATATTCCCTCAAGGTGTTCTATTCATCGGTCGGTTTGTGTTTAACATTAGTTTAAGGCCCAGAAGTTAAATTTCATCTATGATCTAAAAATTAGATACTTGGGTCATTTATTTTCTTTCCTGATTTTATAAAAATTGGAAGAAATCTTACTACTTTTGTATATTTAGTACACAAAAGATTTGTTTTTATGTATATTTAGGCTTTTAGGAAATTAAAAAGACCTTAACTAAAGCATATGTAAGATTAAAATAAGACGAATTTTAAAGGGCTGTCTTAGGTTTCGGCTCTGTTGGAGATGGCAGTGCTGTGCTGGGCCACGCTCTGCCACATGGCAGCTGTAGGACCTCTGGCAAGTTGCTTAAAATCTCTGCAACTGGGTTGCCTCCCCTGAGGTTCTCCACCCCTCTGGATAGTTTTAAAAATCAAGTGTGAGATTATTATTTTTTGTTTAATCAGTTGCAAGATATTTAGTAAGCCAAACAAGTAAATAATTTGCAGTCACTTATATATGCACCCCATTTTTAGCAGAACTGTTTTCCAGAACTCTAGCTATTTTACTGATAAAATACCTTATGATTAAATTTGAAAAGTTCCTTGACACAAAAATTGCTAATCTAATGGAATAAAGATCTCAAAGTCTTCAATATTAAGGTTAAATTGTCAAGAAATAGGTAGGGGTTCCAAGGAAAGTACATGGGCCTTGGAGTGCAACAGGTCTGACTTTGAGCCCCATCTCTGGGATTACTAATGCTTAATGTCTCTGAGCATCAATTTTCCTAATCTGAAAACTGGGGAAAGAATCCCTATTTCCATGAGAGTGTAAACAAACCATCCTTTGTGCTTACCACATGGTGAATGTTGAACAGTCTTTTTAAAATTTTATTAATGGTTATTTGTTTTAAATGTCTATATAGCCAAGAAGCTGTTTCAAAACGTAATTGGGAATTTATTTATACACAGGTTACATTTAAATAACCAACTAAAAAATGAATATATGGAACTAAGGCAGTTTTTAAAAGAATATAACAAGGATTCCGATAGTTATGGCTTTTTGTTTCTTTTTTTTTTTTTTTTAAGATTTTATTTATTTATTTGACAGAGAGACACAGCGAGAGAGGGAACACAAGCAGGGGGAGTGGGAGAGGGAGAAGCAGGCTTCCCGCCGAGCAGGGAGCCCGATGTGGGGCTCGATCCCTGGACCCTGGGACCATGACCTGAGCCAAAGGCAGACGCTTAACGACTGAGCCACCCAGGCGCCCCGGCTTTTTGTTTCTAAACAGTGGCCACATATTGAAACATATTGAAACCCCTGGGATTTAAACCTGTTGCTTGATGTTTTTCCAAATGTATCCCATTCTTTGGTTTCTTCTGTAAGTTTCACCGAAGCACTTAATATGTAGAGTACTAAACATGCATACCAACATAGTTTAGGACTTAAAATGTTCAACTTTTCAGGGTTTCTTTTAAAAGTAGGATTCTGACTGACTTGCATAATTACATGTGCTCTCTCCCCTCAACTCTCATGAAATTTATCAGTAAATAAGGAGAGAAGATATGTATGTAGTAATATTGTTTTCCAGAGTTGAAACAGTGTGACCCAAAGCATCAGGACCTTCTTGATAGTCTCTGAAGAAAAATGCCCTCCCTATAGAGCAGATTTTAAATGATTAATAAAAGCATTACAAAGAGGTGTGAATTCTACTGGTATTTTGGATTGTAGGCTTAGTTAACAGGAGTGGAAAAGCAAAACTTGGCACCACAGCAGACTCTTTCCTCCAGTAGTTTTATACTTTTTCTGTATTTGATATGTGTGAAAACGAATGTGTTGTCTATCACTCATACAGGAAGATAATTATAATGACTGGCCTGTGTTGATTTCTGTTAGCAGTGTGATGGATTTGCATGAAATCTGTATTATCTTCCTGCTTGTCTTTGCTTTTTGGGTTAGAGAGCTTTCCATTAAACTATCCTATTAAATTCACACCTTTTTGCTTAAGTTATTCAGATATGTTAAAAAAATAAGTAAGCCATTTAGTACCTCTTAGACAATTAGATTATTGGTTCCCAAAATACCCCACCCCCCAAGTTGAGGGATAAACATCAGGCAGCAACTTTTTATTTTGTCAAGCATGGACGTTAAAACAAAATTTGCTTTCTAATCATTGTCACCATCATTTGATGAAAGAAAGGGATTTAAAATCAAAGGAGAAAAGATGTAGAAAAAGGTCCATCATTCTCAGGAAAGAACAGGTTCTGTGATACATGGAAATGTGTATGTGTACAATATGGCCTATATTACCCAATAAGGATATAATAAATAATGTCTCTTTTCACTATGGACATAGGAAAACTTTATTGCTGAGCCAGCATTAGGGAATAAGTGGTCTAAATAGAATAGCTGAGTAGTTACTTTAGTCTTTGTCATTTGGTTGTTCTGGAAGCTCATAGAAACAAATTTAAATTTGTCATTAAAATCTAGCCTTTTATTGTGCTACCTACCTGCATTTGAATTTTCCCAAATCAAATAGGTAAAGTACCCAAGTGTAAAGAAATGATGAATACTTAACTAATAGAGAAAAGTCCTGTTTTATTTCCTTGTGCATACACACCTTTAACCAAATGCAATCTCTCAATCCTTTTCCTTCAGCCAATCTTTAAGAAGGAGTTCTGACAGTTTTACTAATCCTTTCTGATTGTAGTTAGGAGTGGAAGAGCATATCCTTTGTGTTAAGTGAGGGCCGATTTCAAGTGGGCTTAAGTTTCTTGTTATAAAAATGAGCTTACAGAATAAAGGACTTATTTAGCAAAACTGAATATTTTCCCACTTTTATTTATAACCTCAGTGGTTCTATTCTAATTTACATTCTTGCCAGTAGAGGTATGAGTTCCAGGAGGCCCCAAACCTTTAGTGTCTCTTTTCTTGCCAGTTTCTACTTTTTTGGGTTAATGACCCCAGGACAGCCTCTTCCTAGGCTGGTTTCCACCCTCCAGAAAGCCCTTTTTTATTTGTAATCTATGCTTCACCAAAGGATATGTTTCTTATTGAAATTCTATTATTATTAAAATTGTAACTCCTGTTCATTGAAATTTCCCACAAAACATTGGAAACTCTACAGTCTTTTATAGAATTTTTCAGCCTCCTTGGTTGGAAAAACTGACAGTGGTTTTCTCACATGTACTATATGATTGAAAGGAACACATATATTGGTTCTGTAGAAAAAGACAGCTTTCCTGCTATTAAGGATTAAAACTCTTGGATTTCTTTTTACCACTTAATCAGTAGTCTTGATTTAGATTATACATAGATTTTCCATTAGGCAGAAAAGACGTATCCCGAAGAGGCTTGGGCAAATATCTAGGTATTGGTTTGAGAATTTGGGAAGTATAGAAGCAAGGGTGGGATTCACTTCCAAAGGAGGAGGTTGCCAGTTTCCCTAGGGCTAATGTAAGCTTGAGTGAAAATTTACTAGCTTTTGTCGCTGTGAAACCAAACCAGAGACTGCTCCCCGGGCAAGGAACTCATCAGTCACTTATAAGATTTCCTAAACTACTAGTTTACTACTTTTCTTAGTTAATTTCTTGGGGCTAATTTGAACTTCTGAGACTGTCCTTTTTCTTTGGTAAGTCTACTGTTTAGATAGGCAGATGGTATTTTTTAAGGGTGATTTTTCTAAAACAGAGACAGCCCGGGCTTATTACTTATGGTCATGATGAATAGAAATTAAAAAGGAATGAATGTATGCTTAATTTTTTCTCCCCTCTTCAATAGAAAAGAACGTCCTATATCACTAGGGATTTTCCCATTACCTGCTGGAGATGGACTGCTTACACCTGACACTCAGAAAGGCGGAGAGACCCCTGGATCAGAGCAATGGAAATTTCAGGAATTAAGTCAACCACGTTCTCATACCAGCCTGAAGGTAAGCTTCATTCTGCTGAAGTCTTCAATTTACATTGTATATAAGCTTTCGTATTCAAATTGAAGTACTAGATAGCTAAAACATAATAAAATGAGTTTGTATACATTTAATCTTGTAAAACCAATGCCTTTTATTTGTTTTTTGCCTTTCTTTTAAATCGGAAATGAGCTCTTCCCAAAGAGTTAGATTTTTACTATTCTTTTTCAAGTTATATAGGAAAACAAAGTCAAGCATTGTTATATCTTGATTAGTATACTAATGACACTAATTACCAAAATTTCTATTTGATTTAGGCTGTTTTGATATGTATTTGATCATATAAATTTTTTAGTGAATGTAATGTTCTTTAGAATTGAAAATCATTGGTACCAGAAATCCTTGGTTCACTGTTGGAAGCTTCACAGTTTAGTAAGGCTTCGCTTTTTTTTTTTTTTTTTTAAACATGATTTCTTCCACAAACCTCTTCATAAAGCAATATCCAAAAGTGCATTGTGTTTAGCTAAAAAGGCCTGGTGTTGGTTTTGACCAAGAACATACCATCAAATATAAGTATAGTTAATTATATACTCTAAGAGGGAAGATATACTAATAGTTAAAAAAATATTTAAAGTTGGGGCTCCAAGCTGGCTCAGTCAGAAGAGCATGCAACTTTTGATCTTGGGGACGGTAGTTTGAGCCCCGTGATGGGATTAGAGATTACATACATATATACATACATAAATAATATAATTAAATAAATAAACAAACTTTAAAAAATTAAAATTATATTCTATTTCTTATAAAGTTGAAATTTGTAAAGAGAATATTGATTATAAAAGAATCTTGTTCTATTATAACATCTATCATAAAACAAATAGGCCACCTATAATGAATACAAATAAATTACATCTTATCTCCTTTTCTTTTCTTTTTTTTTTTTTTTTAAAGATTTTATTTATTTATTTGTCAGAGAGACAGAACACAAGCAGGGGGAGAGGCAGGCAGAGGGAGAAGCAGGCTCCCCGCTGAGCAAGGAGCCCGATGCGGGACTCGATCCCGGGACTCCAGGATCATGACCTGAGCCGAAGGCAGTCGCTTAACCAACTGAGCCACCCAGGCATCCTTTTACCTCCTTTTCTTGCTTTCTTTTTTTCCAAAGTACTTATTATGGTCTAAGTGCTTAAAGATAGCTCTTATACTTTTAAAATACTAAGTCATTTACTTAATTACTTTGTCTCTTTCTCTCCATTCAGAACATAAAGTCCATGTGGTTTATTTATGCTGTATCCCTAGCACTTAGAAAAGTGCCTAGCACATAGTGGCCACTCAGAACGTGTTTATTGAGTGAATTATTTGTTTCAGGTATTAGGAAGGCTTTTTGGGATAGTATAAATGATCTGTCAGCCCTGGTAGGTACATGCATTTATAATCATTTCATTGACCTTTGAAATGTGCTCAAAACAGTAAGCAATCAATAAATATTTTTGATAGCTTTTCAATCCCACTGAAAAGTATTTTTAACAGTAAAACTGACCTCACCTTTTCCCCTTCTCTTTTCCTGTTGCTCAGTTTATTAGAAGCTAATCCTGTGGCTGCTCAGTATCAGTCCACAGTGGTGCCAGTGGGAAACTCTCTAATTCTTTACTCCTACTGCCACACTGGCTTTTTTTTTTTTTTTTTTTAAACCTGCCTGTAGGTTTACTAGGTCTTCCAAAACAGCCATCCTTCAATTCGCCTACTTACTGTGTCTCTTTCCCAAAACAAAATTAAGTAGGAGGGATACTTTTAGTACATCAAAAATGTATACCATATGGTAACTATATTTTAATTATATTCCAAAAAGGAACCTTAAAGAGAAGATTATTATAATTCTCTTGTTGTTTAATCCAGCAACATGCTGTGACAGAACTTTACTGAAAGTTATAAACTGATTAACAGATTATTAATGTGGACTTAAGCCAGAGAGGGTTTTTTTGTAGCCTCCTTAGAGATACGAAGGCAAGTATTTCCCAGAGAGTTTCTAGAATAAAATCCTGTCTCTATACTCTGGACATGGAGCCACTAAATGAGATAAAGGCTCAACAAGTACAGATTTCTAGGAGTGGAGTGGAGTGGTACATTACAAAACAGCAAAAATCTGATTTGTAAAGTATGTCTAATAATTAGGACATACTTTATTATTACCCAGGCCCTTGTTATAAATCATAAATCAGACGTCTTTCTCTAACTTTGTGAAAGGCTAGGAGTTGGGTTTAGGAGTTCACTTATGGACCGTGTCTCTTGTACCCACTGGTCTTGGTGTCCGTGTGTGACAGGAAGTGGGCTATGATTTAAAGTTTTCTACAACTTTGATTTCTCTGAGAACTTTGGGGATGACCTACCTGTATTTAGGGTACACTTTGCCTTTGTTATGAAAAAATTGAAGGTGAGAATTATAAATATTAATTTTACTAGGACAGTTTTCTGTGAAGTAAGGTTAAAGTGAGAATTTTCTGTGAGAAAACCATTTGATGGGGTTATAAACAAGGAAACAGAGCTACAGGAAGCTTCGTGGCAGAAGAGTGGCAGTAAAGGGGATTTGCCAATGATTGTAACGTTATGGACCTTCTTTGTTGCTGTATTGCAAATTTCTCACTGTGAGAAGAGTTGTAGCCAATAAAGTATTGTATCTTCAGGTACTGGAAAATCTTCTAGGAATGATACATCTAGAAAAATGTATAAGTTGTCTTTAAAAAGAAGTGTTTGTACATATTATTCCTCCCTGTATCATATTCTTGTGGGGGAGATCAACAAACAAGTAAACAAATAAATGAAGTAATAGATTTCAAGTATCGTGACATACTGCTGTGTATGTGTGTGTGTGTGTGAGAGAGAGAGAGAGAGAGAGTGAGTGAGTGAGAGAGAGATACACTGTTTCAAAAAAGCAAGATAAGGGGCTAAAGAGTAGGGTGGAAGGCTTACTTCAGGGTGGCAAAGGAAGGCCTCTTGGAGGAGGTGATTTGTACCCTGAGAAGAGGATGTACAGGTGCATGGAAAGGTCTAGAGATGATCAAATAGCATCTGTAAAGGTCCTGTGGCGGGGACAGACTGGAATGTTTGAGGAATGGTTGTTTTCACCCCTCTCTTTTGAGACTTTTAGTCTTAACTACTGTGCTGACATGCCTTTTGTCAGGGTTACCCTCTAAATATAATGGGAAATTCTCATTCCCACCCTACCTTGTAGCAGCATTTGACACATTTGAAAACTTTCTGCTTCTTGAAATGCTTTCTTCGTTTTGCTCCCAGGACATCCCATCTCCTTGCGGCTCCTGGACCTCTTCAGTTGTAGTTCCCCAGACCTTAAAGCTCATCCCTCCTCTCTACATAATCTGTCTAGGTCAAGTTTCATGTCTGTAAATGCCCTCCATACACTGGTCACAAATTTGAATCTCCGACCCTGACACCTTTCCTGAACGCTGCGTTGCTGAATCCAATTGCTTTCTTTTAAAGTTTCCCCACATATATATTTATGTCCTGCTTAGGTTACCCCTAATAGGAATAACCTTCTTTGATGGCCAATCAAAATGCCACAGCTTACACGAAGCCTCATCTGACACCCCATTAATGGCCCTCAGATCTAGTTTAGAGATCAGTAGAAAGCAGAGGAGTTTATATTGCATCATTAACAGAGATTTCTTACTATGGGTGCTTCTAGTGAAATAGGTAAAAAGCGGGACACCTGGGTGGCTCAGTCATTGAGCGTCAGCCTTTGGCTCAGGTCATGATCCCAAGGTCCTGGGATCAAGCCCCACATCGGGCTCCCTGCTTGGCAGGAAGCCTGCTTCTCCCTCTCCCACTCCCCCTGCTTGTGTTCCCTCTCTCGCTATGTCTCTCTCTGTCAAATAAGTAAAATATTTTTAAAAAAAGGGGGGGGGCATCTGGGTGGCTCAGTCGTTAAGCATCTGCTTTCGGCTCAGGTCATGATCCCAGGGTTCTGGGATCGAGCCCCTCATCAGGCTCCCTGCTCGGCGGGAAGCCTGCTTCTCCCTCTCCCACTCCCCCTGCTTGTGTTCCCTCTCTCGCTGTATCTCTCTCTGTCAAATAAATAAATAAAATCTTTAAAAAGAAAACAAAAACAAAATGCTTTCTTTAAAAAAAAAAGGAAATAGGTAAAAAGCAACTTGTGTTGAATCACCCAAGCTGTTCTGTCAAAAATGTATTATAAAAGTGCTAAAGCTGGGAATGAGCAAAAAACGTTAAGGTAGGATTGTTCATCCAACTGAATTATATTCACAAATAAGCCACAAAGAAAGAAGGAATTGGAGAAGAAAAGGCCAAGAATAACCTGAGACAGTCCTGAAGAACAATAACAGAAACTTGCCTACTAGATATTAAGGCTTACTGTAAAGCTGTAATTATTTACATGTTGAAGTATTGCATTATCTGCCCTTCATTTTTCCTTTTTGCACAATTCAGTCCTAAAGCTGGTCGCTAGAGCAAAGCAAGGTTAAGCGTCCACAGGGTGAAGTAGGGTGGGAATGGGGCAGGTATATAACCTGAGCAAGGTTAGGAGTATATACATCTAGGGATAGCCTGGTGTAGAGAGTCAGGGCCCCAGCAGTGTGAAGGACATCCATGCAAAGGGGCAGTCTGGTTTTGGGGTGTCAGATCTTAATCAGGGTGGTGAGGGCCTCCCCAAGGAAAGGCACTCCAGGCATAGGGTGTGGGAGCCTGAGCAGATGAGGAGGGCAGCATCCACATAGAGTGGGAATGGGGGGCAACCTAGAATGGAGAAGCAGAAGATGTCCAGGGAAAGAAGAACATTGGCTATAAGTGGCAGAAGAGAGACTATAAAATAAAAGACCGTGGCCCCAGATGTTCAAAGGACAAGAGAACTTGAGAATGGAAGCAGTTGTTAGCAGGGTCAGCTAGTATGGATAAGTCAAGAAGGATGAGGGTTGAATTTGTCAATTTGTAGGTATGGGTTTGCACAGTTTGAGTTGCAGGACCAATAACAGGAGTGAACGTGACTCATGAAAGGA